TTTGGGTTTAGGGCTTAGGGCTTAGGGTTGAGGGCTTAGGGTTTAGGGTTTAGGGTTTAGGGTTTAGGGCTTAGGGTTGAGGGCTTCGGGTTTAGGGCTTAGGGTTTAGGGTTTAGGGCTTAGGGTGTTTTTTTGTGAGGGCCTTTTTCCGTCCGCTAGAGTACCAGCTCAGGAATCTACCGAGGTAGAAGGCAGTTTTGCCTGTTGTCTCGCAGACTGGGCCACCGAACATGTTCCGCACCTCATTGGCTTCCACGTCCCTTTTGCCACTATGCCCCATTGTCCGAGCCCTCTGGAACCCTTGCATGCGACTCTGTGTTCTCCATGACCTCCTCAGTCTCCTCCGGCTCGAGAAGCGTGTGGACATCCATTGAGCCTAGCCCTTCAAGTAGCACCTGCCCGCTGCAAGACCACATTGACGGATCGAGGGACCAAGTACGGTGGCTGGATTGGCAACACTTGCGGGATCAAGCTGGGCACTTCGCCATGCTGCATCAAGAATCCCCAGCAAGCGATGGTAAATGGCGTTCAGCCCCCATATGCGCCACAAGCAGTAAAGGTTCAACCATGCAGCACCGTAGTTCTGCAAATGTCGGCGTCCGTCCTGTGACAGTCGCGCCACTGGCCGTAGATGTTTTCGAACAAGCCGAACCCTAAACTTCGGCTTGCCTGGCGCCCCCCATGCCAAAGATGAACCCTCAATCCTGAAACACTTAAGCCTGAAACCATGACTGGAACATCCCGAACCCTTGAAACCTTGAAACCTAAAGCCTGAAACCCGAAAGCCTGAAACCCTAAACCCTGGTTCGGACTATTATTTTTCAGGTTCGGATCAGTATTGTAGGATTTGGACTGATACTTTTGAGCTCTGGATTTCGCGGGTTTAGTAGGGTTCGGACTGCTTTTTAGGGTTCGGACTTTTATTTTCAAGCTGGGACTATCCTTTAGGGTTTGCTGTTTTAGGTTCGGACCTCCATTTTGGGATTCGGACTACTGTTTCAGGGCTCAAGCTTTTATTTTAGGGTTCGGGCTATTCTGACAAGGTTCAAACTAGTATTTTCGGGTTCGGGCTCTTGCTTCGGACTGATATTGTTATGATTTGGGACTATTGTAGGGCTCGTACCACTATGGTTCGGACTTTTGTTTTAGGGTTCGGTAGGGTGCGGACCATTATTTTTGAGGTTCGGACTACTATTCTAGGGCTCGGAAATACATACTTTGTCAGGGCTTGGACCTCGATTTTGGGATTCGCATTATTGTCTCAGGGTTCGAATTACTAGTTCAGGGTTCGGGCATCTTTTTACAACTCGGACAAGTATTTTAAGGTTCGGACTGTTGGGACCATTGTTTAGGGCTCGTACGTTCGGACTACGTCCGGTTTTACGGCTCGGAGCCCCGAGCCCTGCCCACGAAGATTTGTTCCTTGCCGACGAAAATTTGTGCCTTGCCGATGAATTCGTGCCTTGCCGACGAGCGCTAGGCTCTTCTAACGAAGGTTTGCGACGTGCCGACGACGATTCGTGAGATCCTGCTTTGCGGACGAGGATTTATGCTTTGCACGAAGATCTGTGCCTTGCCGACGAAGATCATCAAATAGGTTTGGAATTTAGGGCTTAAGGCGAAAATTTGGAGCCCCGGCGTTTCGGTTTCTGGGCTTCTTTAGGCTTTTGGTGCCAGAGTTTCGGGCCTTCTTGCTGTCATCGTATACAACTTGGTGCGCACTATTACACACTTTGGTATCTTTTGGTGACTTTCAATTGTCGACACTGCTAAACAGGTCCACCTTCCCTCACAGTATGTAGTCGCTTGCTGGGCGCCACGAGATTCACACTGCCAGCGAACACGTCACCTCAATCATCAAGGCAAGTCTGATCGGAAAATTATCGCATCGAGAACACCGAAGCATTCAAACTTGTAGTTTCCAACTTCAAGCATTGAACCCTGAACCTTCGTATTCAATCCCACACCCCGAGACTTTCAAACTCCAGAAACGTTTGCCGCTCAGCTTCAGCGGCCATGGCGCTTCCTCGACCCTGGCCAGTAAAGTCTTGCCGGATGCCAAACTTACCTGGACGTGATACAAAGCTTGAAAAGGTCCTTGTTGTTCTTCAAGAACCGGTACGACTAGCTACTAGACACCGAGAACTGCAAGTGTAAAAACATGTTGCGACACTATTTTCTCACTTGTAACTGCTCCCAATGGCTCCGAGTCAGTGCACCGGTGCTTCGCGTCTACTGCAAGGTTCTACAGCAGTGAGGACGCTGGGGATGCCAGAGGTTGGGTAGCAAGTGGTGTACGATGCCACAAGCCAAACCCCAAAGATTTTGGTCCGAGTGTCGCTCACCCAGCCTTCCGGGGGGCCTTCTCCCGAATATCTTGGCTTGAGAACGAATTGGGACAAAAGGGTTTGCAGCTTGGGGCCTCCAAGTTCGTGTGCGGTAGTTTGGGTTCAGAGGAGTTGTGGGTTGAGAAGAAGTAGACGGCTTTGGGCCTCTAGCATGCTGCGTCTCTAAGAAGCTGCGGGAAACACCAAACCCTAATCTTTCCACATGGCCCGAGTCAAGGTGCATACAAACGCCGACTGAAATTAAGCCACTCACGTTCACTGCTACATGTTTGGTCAGGGATCGGGCAAACGGCTGGAAGAGTTTCCAAACCTAGCATGTCAGTTGGCCACGCGTGGCTCGGAAAACGACGACACACGAGGCGAAAACATGTCCTACAATCAAGCAATCGTGTTAGCTGCGAGTCCTAGCTGCTATCCCCATACGAAAGCCCAAGATGTATTGGCAAGGCATAGCGGCTGAGCCGCCTTGCTTGTTTGAGGTTTCGGGCTCGTCAACCTTGGGACTCAGGCCGTTGAATGAGAGGAAGCGGTTCCAATATCGAATCCCTTGCCTCACACATCCTTACCAACCATCAAACTGCAAAAGACAACAACCGCCCCGGCTTTGGGTCCGAGGAACTTCCGAAAACGGAGTCTGCTTGTGCGCAGCTCCAACTCCTCCGAGCACCATTTTTTGGGCCCATCGCAAAAGACTAGCGATCTCAGGGTCACGGGATTTGGGGCTGATCACAGGCTTCTAGTGCTTGGCCCTCGGGTCTGCACTGCAAGCTCAACAGCCAAGGATATGTAACGTAGACTAGCCGAGCGAGTCAGCCAAGGTTCAAGTTGCAAAGATGCCCAAACGCCTCCTTTCAGGACTCCGTCGTAAGCCCAATGAAGATGCTGATATGCTTTGTTCAGCACTAAGTAAGCATCGGAATATTCCCCTCAAGAAGGAATTGGGAATACTTTGCGACACGGGTCGGACTGGCTCTGTCTCCCACATCCTAGGGATGAGCCGGGTGGATTTCGACGGCTTCAGTTCCTCGAGGCACCGGCTCTGACGAGAACCCTACAATCCTTAACCCTGAGCTCCTTAAAACTTAAAGCCTTCTCTGAAGCTACATCGTAGAAGACCTCCATCCTGAACCCTCGGACGAGATTCCCAAAAGGCCCCCTGCAAGGGGGTCCTCCACCAGAGAGCCGCTGGCCAAGCGCTCAGCGCAGGGGGAACTCTTCAGGTCCCGACCCTCGCGGACGAGGATCCTTGGCTTCAGGGCTTTTGTGGCGGCTTGCTTTTATGATGGGGAGTAGGGTTTCCAAGGGGGCCCCGTGGGGATTTAGAGGGATTCATACAGCTCTCAAATAAGTGTGATAAGGGTTTCTGGGAGGTTAAGGGTGGGGCTACAGGGGGGTTGGCTAAATTTTGCTGTCATCTTGACATATGGATCATATGGATCCAGCGAGGCATTCGTAGGATGACGGGTTCACAGGCTTCGGCTGAAAGCTTCAAGGTCCGGGTGTAATTAAGGTTTACGAAGGACTCCTCGCGCACGCATGGCCCTCCACGGCTGGCAGAGAGGCGGCCTTCCCAAATTGCCGGAACGTTGTTGCATGGGGATTACTGCCGCCAACTGCTGCGGAAGTTCGAATATGATTGTGCGAACCACCAGAAACTGAAGTTGGCATTGCTACTGCATGGATATTAGTACGTTGGGACTTCTTCAGGACAAGTTGGTTGTAAGGGGCACATGCACACAAACAGGCAGATAAAAATGGACACCGATGAAAATACTGTGGTAGATATACATGAAAGTCTCGGTTTCAGAGGACGTACAAAGAACGTTCTCGGACTTTCCTGCTGCTAATATCATATATGGACATGCCGGAAGGCTGCCAAAAAATCACACAGCAGTGGCGTAGCTTGGTTCCGCATGCATCCTTCCATCCTTCCCTCCCTCCGTCCGAAGAGTTCATCTCGCAGACGCTTCTTTATGGAAGAATGTCAAACACTTGGCCCAGGCTCCCTCCCTGCTCGGCGCCGGCCACCACTTTCCAGAGCTGTCTCATGGCCGAGCGACGCTGAGGCTTCAGGGTTTCGGCTTGTTTTTAAGTGCAGAACTAGTAGGTTCTGACATGCGACTGCTCCTACTCTGTGTTTGAAAGTCACCCGGGTGCATGTTGCACTGCACACGCACGAGCTCATGGAGCCAGGGTCCGAGCGTGTTCAGACATGGAACATGCCACTCGCCTCACGGGGGAAGGGGGAAACACAGGTTTCGAAGTGCCACTTCTTCTCGGTAGCTGAACCAGCCCTGGTAGCCCACCTCGCACATGCGAAGCCCTCTGCATGCCTCACACCTCACCTCACCTCACCTCACCTCACAACGACCCGGAATCGGCTCGGGCTCAGAAGCGCCAGGTACGCTCCGCGGGTCCCCAAAGCACTGAGCCAGCAGCTCTAGGCTTGGACACCGAACCCGAACCGTCTGCTCCGAAACCTGAGACCCCCGTCCTGCACCCCACACCAAGGCGATGCAAGATTGTTGCCCTGCACTTTCATGACCATAGGTGAAGATCCTGTGCGGCTTGGAGCTATCACAGCTCGGATATATGATTCTCAAAGAAACAATGTCGACCAGGGTCCAAAGGATTGTATTCGGTTAGCGCTGCCTGAGTCTGGAGTCGCAACCGCTTCCAATCTTAAAACCGATGCTGCGAACCTCTAGGACTCTATGCCATGCGAGTCGTCGCTGGTTGTGGTTCTGCGGAGGTGCGGGTGGTGCCGGCGGTGCTTAAAATGGTGATGGTGCTGCTGACGAACCTGAAGAAGTGGATGATTCGGCTGAACAAGGCTACCTGGCATTGCGAGGCAATTATATAAGCTAACTAGCTGGGATTGCCAACAGCACCTGGAATGTGCAGGTAAATGCAGCCGAGCAGTACTGTAACGGACTCTGGCAACATGTTGGCATACACTAGGACCAAATTGATGGAATCAGCGGGTATCAAGATTGCGATGAGAATTCGGGCAGCAAAATATTATCCCGCCTTGGCACGGCATCAACCAAACTGCAAGCAGCGACCGATTGAGCCCTAGAGAAAAAAAGGCAGAACAAGTCGGGAAGCACTCGTGCAGGCCTTCTGTCATGAAGCACCAGAGATGTCCGAACTGCTTCGCCTCCCTTGGCAATTCTCAGTGCTGAAAGCTGCGAAGGGGCCGGGGCTACAGGACTACGTCCAGCAGGCTTGAGGCCGCTTCCGTACCTTCTTCAGACACACGTAGTTTGTTGGAGGGGGCTGGAAAACATCGGCTCAGCCCCAAACTCTGCAAGGACGACAACCCCAAAGTCCCCAAGCCAACTACACTGGAAGCAGTGGGCTGACTGGGGCCTTCGTGGCAGCAGCCTATCGTCTTCCCAAAATCCTACGACCCCTACCTTTTCTGTGGAACCCTGGCCCTGACCTCTGAAACCATGAGTGCCAAGGGTCCAGTCGCTCTTTACGCCCGGGGGTCCACGAAGAGCAGGACACGCCTGTTCATCTTCGTTGAGCACCAAGCTTTCAGTTTCTGCAGAACTTCCGTTCGGAATCTTCTGTGATTCTTGTCGGACTTGCCCAAAAGTTGTTCAGAAATTCCTGAGCAAAGGCCATTTGCCTCTCAACTTGTTGACGAAGACCTCTTCTAAGTCTATCAACGCATACCATCCGGAATTCCAGGTGCAGTTCCGGGGTAACACCAGCCGCGGATCCAAGACTTTGTGCGAACCCGCGCAATGAGCACCAAAAGAACTATGCACGTCTTGCATTCAACACATCTTCCATCCGCAAAGAAAGACCGTGTCCATTAACCCTTCAGTTCAGCTCTACAGCTTCAGCGCAAACACCCGCCAATCCGATAAGCCCAGGGCCAATAACCCTCACTGAAAAGCAGGAAGTCTCTGAGTCAACTTTTGAATCTGATCGGTCCTCACGGGTCTGCCGGCTGTAGGCGCCTAGCGCCTCAGAAACCCAGTGCAAGGAGCATGTGGGGTGGCCGCTGAGCATAGCAACACGACATCACCTACGTCAACTCACGTGCAGAAGAAAGACGATTGGCCCTTGTGCCCGGGTCTGGGAGCTTGCCGAAGCTTCGTGGTTGGAGGCTCTGATTGCCAAGTCAGGTGCCGGAAAGTGCGCCAGAATTCAAAAGGAACTCGGTTGGTCTGCTGTGGCTTCAAGCTTTTGAGGTCTTGTACAACCGGATGGGTTCTGGGTGGCCAGCAGCCACAGCGCTGTGGACGAAGGGAGATTTCAGGACATTGGCCTCAACAGTCGCTGAAGGTGAAGGCGGATGAACGCTGGGAAAAGTCCTGCTGCTCATGGCTGCTACGAATTCGACCACTGTGGTGATGAAGGTGATGCTACTGATGCTGCTGATGATCATGCTGATCATGATGACGATGATGATGATGATGATGATGACAATGATAATGACGATGATAGCGATGACTGTGAAGAGGACGGTGATTATGGCGATGTTGCACCATCGCGATGGTGATGCTGAATGCGGTGCTACTGCTGCCGATGTTGATGACTGTGGCCACAATGACTGATGATGCTGGTGTTGGTGATGATGATGCTGCCGGTTCTGGTGGTGGTGCGCTGGTGGATCAGGCAATGCTGACGGCGCCGATGCTGATGATGACGATGCTGATGCTGATGCTGCGTATCCTCCGGGTAGATGCTGATGTTAGTCCTATTGATGCTCAAGAGCTGGAGCTGTTCATGATGCGTAGATGATGCTGATGCCGCTCCCGGTGATCAAGGTGCGTCCAAAAGCCCTGACCCCGGAAAACCTGTACAGCATGGAAAGAGGCATCTGACGCTCACGTTGCCACGCTTGGCTTGGACTAAGAGCGTCGCGAAGGGTAGGGCCATGAAGTCGTTGAAACCTGTAAACTCCACAACCACAGGACTGCCGTATTGTTGAAGGCCACAACTGTCTTGACACCTGACTTCAGCTCTCCGTGCCATATAACCACAACGGAAAGTGTGCAGCAACATCATGAACATCTTCATGCCCCAGGCAGCCACACATGTGATTGGACAATTCGCTCATGCATTGCACAGCGGCCTTGATGCACCATCCAGTCTTGACTCGCCCGCAGGAACATGTGGTGATGTGCTCCAGAGACGAAGACCGACTGGGCAGGAGCATTCAAAGACGAGCGCATGAGAAGCTGTTATGCTTTTGTTCTTGTTGTTGTGGTTTCAACATTCTGCGCATGGAGAATGCCTGGGACTTGTAAGCGGAACGATGGGCTAGAAAAAAGTTTGTTCTCACTGTTCTTGCTATGCACATGCTGATAAGACAATCTTCGTAGCAGCGCTAGTGCTAGTGACTCAAGTAGCAGTCGACGTCGCGGTGGCGTGCAGCAGCAGGAGCAGCAGCACGAGCAAGTAGTAATTCTAGTTTCCTTGCCGTTGCGGTCGCACTGGCAAACGTAGTCGTAGTCGTAGTCGTGGTAACAGTCGTAGTCAGTGGCAGTCGCAGTCGCGGTCGCAGTGGCAGTAGTAGTAACAGTGGCATTGTGTTAGCAGCAACAGCAGCAGTAGCAGTAGCAGTAGCAGCACTGCTCAGTGGCAGTAGCAGTAGCTGTCGTCGTCGTAGCAGTAGCAGTAGCAGTAGCAGTAGCAGTAGTAGTAGTAGTAGTAGTAGTAGCAGCAGTAGTAGTAGCAGCAGTAGTTTGTTCGTCGTGGTACTAGTAGTAGTTGTGGTAGTAGTAGTAGTAGTAGTAGAAGTAGTAGTAGTAGTAGTAGTAGTAGTAGTAGTAGTAGTAGTATGTGGAGCGCAGCAAACGGATTTGCAAAGCAATCGCGCTGCTGCAGCTATTTTCGCTCCGCGAGTTCAGAGTCGCGGACTCTTTTCCGAAAGTCCCTAGGACGCACCGCGCAAGGACTGCCGCAGGCGCGCAACTCAAGAGCTACGCTAGCCTACAAACTGCCGTGCACAATTGGCACACCTAGTAGCAAAGGCACTTGAGCCAAAACGTTCCGTTTTGGACAACACTTAACTTAACAAATTAACATGTCATGCAAAAGCTACAGGCAGCACTGCAGAGACTTGTGCATATGTGCATGCACTCACAAGTAGCAGTAGCAGTAGCAATAGCGGCAGCAGCAGCAGCTGCAATTGTTGCAGAAGTCGGAGTAGGAGCAGAGGGACGAGGCTAGCTCAGCCCATCTACCAAGCAGATAGCCTGGGCAAACCCATAATCTCCCCCATGATCTAGGTATCAAGCCTTGGGGTCTAGGGTTCATGCTTGGGTGCTTCCCAGATTTCAGTGCAGGCTTCACCGCTACCACAATTGGAAACTTCCTCCCCAGCCAAGTGCATGACCATCAAGCGAACCGCCAGAAGCCTGAGGTCACGGTGTGTGTGTGTGTGATGGTCTTCAAGGATCATGTACAAGCCTAGACCACCAACCCAGATTTGAGTATTTCAGGTTACACAACAGTTCTTGGTGCACGAAACGTCACCATGCAACAGGTTGCGGTGCATGAGGCTGAAAGATTTCCACTCTCCTCGGCTTGCTTCGTGGCATTACACTGGCATTCAGCCTTGGCAGGGCCTCGGACCTTGGATGGATTATGTTCGCTGTGTCGCGCCTGCTGAGAACCGGAAGCATGTGTGCTGCAAATCCCTTTGAGCCATCGTTCTAGGGGGACGGCGATTGAGCTTTTGTTGCCTACGCTGCGTCGCAATGTCCTGCTCCCTCGCTCCTGCAACTCCCAACCATCATGGCGAAACTTAGTTTGCAAACTGGTGCTCTCAACCCTGAAGACATGAAGCTCCAAGTCCCTCCGACCATGCAGCGACTTCTCTCCAGGCCTCAAGCCTCAAACCCCAAATCCCTCCAAATGCCCCTCCACCTTTCATGCCCAGCCCTGCTGGATCAGGGCCCCGAGCCCAAGGAAGCAGCCATCCAAACGGACGTCCTGGGCACACAGGGCCATCACAGAGACGCAAGACACCAGACGGAGCAGGTTTAGGTTGGAGCATTTCGGGTCAAAAGTAGCGGCAACCATGCTGGGAAGTTCAGGGCTTGAGCATGTATTTCCAACGTTGGGATCTGGGCCCACGCGTTCAGTCTTACGGCTGCTGCTATTGGGGCGATGCCCGTGCAGAAAATCTTGGGGTCTCCAGATCCCTTCCGTATCGCCTAAATAGACCAGCTGCAACTTGTGTTAAGTTCTGGTTTACAGGTTTAGGATTTAGGCACTAAGTAGAAAATCAAACCCCAAGACTCCTATTCACAGCATTTTACCCATACTACCTGCGGCCCCAGACGACAATCCAAGCATCATAGAATATCATGAGCCTATACACCTTCACGACACCCGCGAATGCCATGCATAAGTCCACCGCCGCAAGCACCTGAAAGAGTTCCTCAGGCTCCTCGCTTCCAGTCAAGCTGCCCTGCCCTTGTCCGCCTCGAAATGCTCCTGCAACTGCACCTGGATTTACTGCTTCGGCTTAGGGCCCATGACTTAGGCTTGGGGCACATAGCTGGCCGAAGCATCGCACCGTTCTGGCATGAGACCCGGACGGTTCTCAACCTCGCTCCGCCGATGATCCCGAAAGGCTCAACCCCCCAGCCCTGAAACCACAAGGTACAAGGCTTCACCTTGAAGCGTCCAGAGGCCGATGCCCTCAACCGGGGACTCGCAATGCCCTGATCCCGTAGGTCAAACCCCAAGTCCCAAAGCATCCATTCCAAGAAGATATCGGCCTCAAACACAGCTGAGACATCCCACAAAACTCAAAGAAAACATACTGAATGTAAACACAGCACAACACAGAAGCCACGAAAACAGCACAAAAAGGCGCGGCTGCAGCATCTCTGGGGCTCCGTGCCGCTGTGATCATCACCTAGAGTCTTGCTTTGCGTGCTTGTTGGTTGGGACCGGGGTCCTAGGTCATAGGAATTGTGATATCTTGTCAGTGCTTGAGAACAATCGAGTCTGCCCCTCCTGTCTGTCGCCCGTAAGAACAACATCCCTTGAGTTTCAGATTCAGCCCCAGCCTTAACCCTCACGCGTCATCTCCTAACATCTCTCAACACAAGGGCTCTCCTCTCCCAGCTGTTCTATGAGCTGCATCTTCGGGCATGTTGTTGGGTCTCTGTGCGAATGCATGCCTCCTGCTTCTGAATCCCACAAACATCCCGAACCTGAGCCACTGCATTCCATCTGACATTTAATGATTAATGCGGCTGACATCAAATATGCAATAGCCGGACTTCATAGTGGTGACTCTGGCGCTGGCATACGGCTAGATGTAGACGACAGCCCGGTACAAGACCGGTTTAGCAGGATTCAAATCTGCCGATGACGATGATCATCATCATGGTGGTGGTGAGACGGCCCTTGAAAGGTTCAAAAAACGTCAATGGTGACGATGGTCATGGTGAGGACAGCGAACCTGAGACTCTTGAGGCTCCAGACTCAGGGCCAACTAGTCCGACAGCGGCCGGGCCGCCGAGGAGTGCGAGAAGTTCGCGGCCACCCCGCGCAAGGCCGCAAGGAGGCTCGGCCAGTCCACCGGATCCTGGAAGCTTCGGAAGGTTACGGGGCTTCCGCTTCCGGCTTCACACAGGGCTTCTTTGGGATTTCCCGTGGCGGATTTGCACTGAGGCATTACGACTTTCGGGTTCTGTGTACATCTCGCCACATTGCTGCGGGTCTGATGTTGCTCGATGGTCCTCTGTCCTACACGATACTGTAAGCAATGTAAACCCTTCGCCGTCCACGAGCGCAAAAGTGTTACTTGGATTCCCTGTGAACGTGCACCACGGCTTTGATTGAGTGTGCCGCATGCTAGTCTTTGTCTTTGTGTAGCACTGAAAAAGGCTTTCGCACAAGGACTCCAAGAAAGGTACAACTTCCGTGCATTCCACATGCTTGGCCTGTCTGGCTTCGACAACTTTCAGCTCTTGCGCCGGTAGAGCTTGAGCAGGGCAAGGTCTGAACATGGGACGGTTCCCAAGTGTTGTACTCAGAACAGCCAGTGAGCTACAAGGCATCAGCCACAAGCTTCAGCGACCCCAACCATTCAAAACACACTGAGAACCCGAAACTTACAAAACATGAGCGCTGAAACTCAGGATGTGGTACTTCGGGAACTACTCTGGGCCCGGCTGGGTTCGGCGTGCTTCCTAGCGCCACCAAAGTCCTCTGTGAACTCACAGGACAACGGCCCACCATGTTGCAGCAGCACCTTCAACAAAGAACATGACCCTGTGCAAAGCCGAGCGAAGCCTTTCTCCGAGCCCTGCCACCGAAGCCCTCCGAAGCTCAAACCGTCATGAAACCAATCACGTCTGGGGGGTGGCTTAGAGTCTTCCAACATCGTGAGAGTGCTGTAATCGTTCCTGTTGCCGAGGGTGTTGCCGGAGAGCTAAATGCTGCTGCTGTCCCTGTCTGTCCCAAACACCTCAAGCCTTGCGTTCCGGAACCCCACGCCTGCCGCTCTACGAGGTCTTCGTCCCTGCCATGCACAGATTTCCAGCGGTCGGATACACCCGTTCCAGTGGAATGGAGGCTTTCCAACTACCAGGATGTCTACGGCCTGCTTACAAAGATGGGATAGACTCTTTCAGAGTCATTGGCATACATATTATATATATATATATATCCAGAGTTGCAGTTTTGGTGGCCCCTGGGTTGTTGCATGATTGAGGGTTGCACAGCACTCCTGTCACTGCAACAAGCCCTGCAACCTCCATGCTGACACTGTACCCGAAAGCTGGGACCCCCCGTTGCTTGGATCATGAAGTACAATGCCTCTAGCTCAGAGACTATCATTGAAGAACCGCTCCATAGTCCTGAATCCTAGACGCTAAGAGGCAAGAGTGACAAGGATCTCTACAACTCCAACGCAAACACAGCAGCTTCCTCAACTCCGAAGCTCGCGGACTCGCGATCTCTCCGAAAGCCTGTCGATCTCTGGCGAGCCCCAGCACAGGACCTCGATTCCAAAACGGTATCTCGGTTCGGATAGGGCACATAACTGCCTGTGATCCTCGGGAACAGACTTACAGATTTTACATTCTTTTGTGATGGATCAAAGCTTAAAAAGAAAAGAGGGTGGAAGTCGGAAGGGAGCTTGGCACGTGTTCAACTTCATAGACTTGAGGGCTTGCCTTGGTGAGGATGCAGGCATGGAGCATTTAGGGGTTTGGGGGTTTAGGGTTTAGGGTTTAGGGTTTAGTAGAGCAGCATGACTTCAGGCTCGCAGTCTCAGCAGTTTCACAAGTGATGAGTCTGGGTTTCTAAAATCCGGCACACTGAATGCTCCCCTGAGACGTACAGGCAGTGCAATACTCCGACAGAGACCCACAATCCTTGTAGAAACCTTCGCAAGCTTCTAAAAACCTTCATAAGCAAGCTCCTCATGGCTCTACGCTTGTTTTCTTCACATCTGTGGAACGGAACTCCACCTCCCTTTCGGAAGTGATTTGTCGGACAAAGGTCACCCTACACCTCACTCACGGAAGTGCGCAACACGTGCAACCAGAACGGTGATGTCGTCGGGCTTGCCACCCTTGTGACCTCAGCCGATACACTTAGGTCCTGCGCACGTATGTGCTTAGGCATATGCACCTGTGTATATAACGTGCACATACCTATCCAAACAAGCAACCTTATCCTTTTCTACCTTTTCGTCTTCGCAGCGGCCGAGGAGGCAAAGGAACTGCTCCACTCTCTGCACGAGTTCGTGCACTGGTCTATGAGGCAGATGGGAAAGCTGCGAGGTGCGTTGGGCTCCGGACGATACCTACGGCATATCAGCCCTCAACCTACCCTGCTGTGCTTCGAGGCCCCAAACCGTCCTGCACCGTACCTCTCCCGTCGCCTCTGTACCGTGCCGTCTGCAAGGCCGAAAGGGTTGCTTGGACTCAGACTCCATGCAGGAGTTTCCATCATTTGCGGTTTAGCCTCCGTGTCAGTTTCCTGAAACTCGAGCCTTTGGTGATTCAAGTCGCCCCGCCTCAACATTCAAACTTGACCTCTCACGATTTGTGGAGCTGGGGCTTTCCGTTTCAGGAGTTCACACTTACTTCAGATCTTCATTTTTCAACAGCTTTCTAGACTTGACTCCTGATTCCCCCAAGAAAACCCTCAACATCCAGCAACATGCAATCCAGCAAAATCAAGAGCCAGAGCTCGCAGCTATACCTCGTACAGCTTTATCGCAAAGCTCCCAACTCCGGACTGATCGCACAACTGCGTCGCACAACTCTCCGCCAGAACGACCAAAAGTTTCAAAAGCACCAAACCCGAAGCCCAGCTTTGGCTCTCTCGGCTTTCTTTAATGCCGGTCGGGCGGCGAATGCCGTGCTGCGCTGCCGCACGGCCGAAAGGCGTCCTGCGTGTAGAGTCTTTCAGATGGCCATGGAGTTAGCCTTTGGATTGGAGGCTGTGCAGCTTAGTGATGGGAGACAATGACTGACGGCAAGCAACGGATAATGAAGACAACACCGAAACAGGAGCAAGAGCTGCAGCAAGAACACAACGCGCGGCAATCGCAAGAAGAATAAACCCGCAGCAACACTGGCCATGATCCGTCAGAGTTATATACGGCCAAGTGGCTCATTCAGCGACTGTGAGGCCGCATAAGCCACGCGCACAAGGCGGTCCGCAATCTCTGCAGCCGGTGCCGAGGCCATGGAAAGCACCACCTCGAAAAAGCAGGAATCAAGAGGAACCTCTGTTGGAGGAAACCGGGAGGAAGGGATCTGATTGAGAAAGCTCCTGAACACAGGGTGATGGCTTGTGGACTGGTAAACTCAAAGTTCGTGCCAAGCACACTGACGGCTTGCTCCTTCCAGACATTGTCGAAGAAGCCATCGGTGGCCAAGATCAACACCTTGGGCATCCGACATGTCCGGGGGGTTGAAGTGCCCTCAGCACGATGGCAATTTCAGAAGCCTACAGGCTGTATGAGGGGAGGCCTTAGGCCGGTAACCCTCAGGCCTCAGTCTAGGAATCTCTACTACGTACTATGCATATGCAGAGAGCCCAAGGACTAAAGCTACAGCTGGGAAGGTCCCGGAGTCCAAGTCGCATCCCCTGGCCTCACATCCGTGGCATATTTCTCGCTGCTGGCGGGCAGATCCCCCTGGCTGCTCATGGCAGAGCCTCCCGATCGCCGAGGGGGCACGCAGACAAGCTGATACGGACCTTGGCCACAACTTCGGAGCTGACATGGGCCACTAGACATGCCATGACCACGAGAAGGATGTCCCTGAACACAACGCTCCCGGGCATCTGACAGTTGAAATAGTGCTGCTGCTCCTTCGTCTCCAAGCAGACGTGTCCGTTTGGTTGGACCACCAGAGCCCCGCTGTCTCCGAGGTTCGCCACCTCCAACTCCCCAGCGCTGCAATCTAGCGAGGCGATGCAGGCCGTGCTGCTTCCCACGATCTGCCTTTCAGCCCGGGCGTGCGAGGAGTGGGCGACTGAAGGTCGAGTTGAAGAGAAAACCTTGCAAGTCGTAAACCGCAAACCCTAGATCCAGATCGAAAAGACCCTATATTCCTCAAGTCTTGAAAGGACTCTAGCCATGGTTTCGGATTCATTGCAGCTGGCTCTACAACCCAGGGCCGCTTTTGCCGACTTCGATCGCACCCGAAGCCCTTGGCCCACCCTCTGCCTGGCATTCTCCCGTATCGCGGTCTCGAAGCCTTCTGATAAGATCTCACCGGCATCCAGCGACCCGCTCATGGCCGCACCTGGCTTCTTGGATGGTGGTCTTCACAGGCCCAAAACAAAGAGACCCTGCTTGCAGCACAACCCCACGGCCTGAGGCCCCAAGCCGAAAGCTACCGAAAAAAGACCAAACCAAGCTAAGCTGAACTCGGCTAGACAGGGGAAAAGGCGCCCTCACAGCGGACCATCAGCTCCCAGGCGAAGAGTGCCGGATTGATGCCGTACCTCCACTGCACCATCCGCGCACTTGAAGCTCTTTGATTCAGGGCATGGTGCACAGCAGTACATGTGATTACGGTCACGTCCGAAAGCAGTGGCTTCCTGGTGGTTTAAAAGGAAGCTGCGTTTTGGCTTTTGACCTTCAGGATTTCGATATTTGGGATTGGGAGTACACGTGGCCTGGTTGGGTTAGCTGCGACGAAGCTTCCTTCAGCCTAACTGCGCATGCTGTTCCGACAATGTCGTGAGCAACCTGCCACATAGGCTGATGGTTCATGTTGCTGCTAACCCGTGCATTAAGGCGACTTCGATAATGCCCGCATAACACCGCAGATCAACCATGCATCCACAGCCAAGCCCACAGCTGACTAGAAAGCGTGACGGCCCGTAAATCCTAAACCAGAACGAACTGGAACCTTAACAGCTTTGTCCGACCAAGGTACCTCGCCCAGCTACTAACTCCATCGGCAACGCCCACCGTCAGTGTCTGGTTGGCCCCGGCCAAGAAGAAGGCATCGTCGCCGCAGTCCTCAAGAGGCGAATTCACTTGCCGGTCGTGCTGCAATTTGGGGACTTCGCGGAGAATCTTCATGCGTCGACGATGTCTCATAGTCATGGCATTGACTTTCATTGTATGATCTACCTTGAACCATGGACCCTTATTGCACCGCGCACACGGCTGTAACACGGAGTGAGGGATACTACCTTCTTTGGCCTTCGTCGAAACCCGCACAACATTAGATGGGACATGTCTTCACATGAGCCAACACAGCCGGCATGCGGTGTGGCTACACTCACACATGTCCGAAGCGCAGTTGCCTTCCGCGGCTCTGCCGCACGGCCTAAACTTGGCCTCAACCCTTTACCTAGGTCTGGGGAATAAATAACAAGGCTTGAAGAGAAGGGCCTAGGAACGGATCTTGGGTTTACGATCCGAAAAGGTCCCGACTTGAGAATCCGGGCCCAAGCCATAGATAAACTCCTCGAGAGTCGAACGAAATCTTGAAACCGGCAGATTAGCCCAGTCTACATGTGTGCCTACCCCCACCCGTTGGAATGTGTTGCTCCACAGAGGCGGGCCATGGACAACCCGCAAAGGCAGATGGAGATAGATCCCACATGTGACACTTTCAAACCCCAAGTTTCGAACCGCTCAACCCTGTCATCCCGCCACCCACCCTCCACCCTTTCCGAAAATCGGCCCAGCTTCATGGCGCACCGGCGGCTGCAGGAGCCTTGGCGGGGTCTTGGACACGCAGCGGGCGGCGGACTCCAAAGTAAAGCGCTGTCGGCTGTCCCCGGTGGCGGGGTGCGACCACTCCTGGGGAAAACGGAGACGGGGATTGAGAAGAAAGCAGGCACCAGCCGATTTTGAATAGTCAGAACATAGCTAGCACAATCCTCAACTTCAGCGAAGGAATGGGTTTCGGGTGGAACACTTGAAGGTTTTAGATCCTTCGGAAATCATGGTTTCAGGTCGCAAAGAAGGGAAGGGAGCTCCTGGCCCTGCAGGCGCAGCTCGCACTGACACGGTCTCACGTTCCTCTCTGCCTGTCTCCAGCGTGCGCCTGCTAGACTTGCAGGGATCGCAAGTCGGCAAAAGGTCCGCAGCTGCATGTTGGGAGTTAAAGTAGCACGAAGCACCTAAATTTTTATTCTTCTGACACACGCTGACATGCTCTACAGACTCTACTCAAAAGCAAATCTGCCCCTTGAACGCCTTATTGCAAATGGACATTCTTCACATTCTGCCACGTCAGTGGAACATCGAATCTGAGTTTGCCGCTAGCGGAATTCATGTACAGGCAACGGGCTTGAGCATAAACGCCCGCCCGCATGGATTGCCTTCGAAAATATACTACGGAATTCAAGCGACCTGGCGGCGGACCTGTACTGTCTGGGCAGCAAACTGTCGTAGGACAAGCTGAGAGACTTCCTGTATTCCAGACGCTGCTCTACGCCACTGGAGTCCAACTCCCCTTGTGGAAACGCGATGACCGAAGGCCTCCAACCACAAGCCTAAATCTTTGAGTGCCCGAAATCGCTTTATACGCAGCATAAACGGAAGAACCTGGCACAATTCCAGCATCCTCCAATATCCTCTAACTTGGCTTGTTGCTTCCTGAAACTCAACGCGCGAATCTTAAACCGGGCGCCTCGCATCTGCTTTCACCGAACGTCCCTTAAGCGTGCAGCTTGAACCCAAACCCCAAACCCTTCACCTGCAACCCCAACCCGAAAGCTTTAATTCTCGAGGGTCGGAACCGTGCAATATCCATCCAGCAACTCACTGAGGGGCCAAGCAGTCGCAAGGATCCACGGCAGCACACAGGACATGGCAGGACGTCCCCACCCCGCCCGCTGTAGTTCGCTTGGGTACTGAAATTTGTATGTCTTGAGAGCTCAAGGTCTATGTTTCGTACTTGGCTCGGCTTGCTGCCTCGGGAGCCCAAGCTGGCGTTCACTGTGTATGGGCTTGTTGTTGTTCATGCGTGTTGACAGCTGTCAGCTGGGTTGGAAGAATGATCGCCGAAGAAAAGACAAATAACATGACAGTAGCAGCGCAAACTGTACTAAACTTGGTATGTCATGTTGCGACTGCTCGCCATACTCCATTGGTCCATATAAAGGCCAGGCGACTAAACCCCAGAAACACTACGCGTGTGTTTGACACGCAAATTGAGCTATGTATGAAAAGTCTTTAATGGATGACTGGACGAACATCCCCCTTGCACAACGGTCTCCTTTTTATCAAACGATTATGCGTGACTTCATGATGAAAAACAACCATGGAAATCACATCAACATGCCATTGGAATTTGCGGCATCGGGGTTAAGAACTTCGAATCACGTGCTTTTGGTAGCCTTAACTCAGTTCTGTTAACATGTCGATTTCGGATCACAGGGGGAAGAGCCGCTGTTTTTGCGAAAGTGGGCTTTCTTCGCACGGTAATAAAAAATCTCCCAAACCCAAATTCATTGGATATATTCCTCTTGTAATCAATGATATGATTTGCATATAAAAGTCATCTCACAAACACTGCAATTCCCATGACTTCACTCGGACGGGCCCTCTGTCTTTTTCCTTCGTAGTCGGAAAGGGGTCAGACGAGTTTAAGCCACGAGCTTGAGCGAGTTGCTGGACATCCGATTGCAGTCAAGATTCTGCGGATGCCATTGATGAGTCTGATAACCCCCCGGGTCGGGAGGGCGGGAAAAAAGTTTTCCTTGCTGCACCTCTGACTTGATGCGGACATGAAACCTCAGACTCAAAATAGCAAGGAAAACTCTCATGCTCGTGACCATCGTGCATGCCAAATTGAGGAATCAACAAAACGATTTGAATCTCTGTTGAAAACTCCAAACTCTTGTGTTGTCTGGGTGGAGAATTTTTTATCGCTTGCCTCACAGAGGCTGCTGTTCCCATGCAGAAGAAAGGCATGTCAGCAAGCTGAAAGTTTCCTTCTTCGCACGGTAATAAAAAATCTCCCAAACCCAAATTCATTGGATATATTCCTCTTGTAATCAATGATATGAATTGCATATAAAAGTCATCTCACAAACACTGCAATTCCCATGACTTCACTCGGACGGGCCCTCTGTTTTTTTCTTCGTGGTCGGAAAGGGGTCAGACGAGTTTAAGCCACGAGCTTGAGCGAGTTGCTGGACATCCGATTGCAGTCAAGATTCTGCGGATGCCATTGATGAGTCTGATAGCCCCTCTCACCACGAATCAGATGGCCAACGACTGGTGCTCCGGGAAATCTGGAAGGCCAACGCACTCAGCCCTACTCAACTCCAGCACCGCTTGTCCGTCCCCACGCGAGGGAGCATCACTGGGATTTGAAGTGGATGGTACTAGCCGCTGTGAAGACACGTGATCACCAGTCGATTTAAGGTCTGCATGCACATGTCTCAAAGTCCTCCCGCCATAGAACCCTGATGCCAAGCGCAAAAGGCCCAGGAGCACCTGTCCTGGTGCCGTGAAATGTGGCCCACATCCGGCACCGTGCTAAGTTGCTTCTGAATCCTCTGAGCGCGGCCCTCCTTGTTTGACAACACCAGAATTCCCAGATGGAGATTGGTAACGTCAAAGCGGTTGCTGAATGAATGGCCTTTGCCACCCTTCCCCGCCTTAGCATCCGAGAAGGGATAGAAACCTTGAAGCGCTGGCGTCGGCTTCATCTCCCATGTCAGCAGGAACGAGCATCGGGTACAGTCCCGGATTATCTTGCTTCGTTTGATCA